TTAGGGCATCATTTATCGCAGTGACTACTAGATCCTGTGTTAGCTATAGAAGAGTCAATATCATTAGTCGTTGACAATTTTTCATCAAACAATAATTCAAGAATTTTAGCAAGGTAATTAGCTAATTTTTGATTTATTGCTATTTGCATCTCAGGTGTAATTTTAGAAAGATTTTCATATTGAAGCCTGCTAAGAGAATTTAATACCCAAGACAAATTATTAGTATATTGAATATGATTTTGGTGATCCATGTTAAAAGCGGCAAAACTAGTAACAATATAAAATATCACCGTATTCATTTCTCAATCAAGGTAATTATATTGACCTTTTTGTTCATTGTCAAATGCTATAAACAAAAGTCCTTTAGACAAAGGTTCTTCTTTTTCTGATAGTTCATTCAACCAGCTTTAAAAACGAGAATAACCACCCGAAAATGTTATATGGTTGTCCATGTTAATAATAGTTTTTGATCAAGCAATGGAATATTTAATAGCAGACACAACAAGATTTATTTCTGATACATATTTCCTGTGCCTGGACCCATATATTAACTCAACAGCCATCGCTTGTTTAAAAAGCTTCTCGATACTTAAGGAATCTAAATCAAAATTATTGTGAATTAATGTCTTAATAAATTTTGCAATAATTGGATTACATTTACTTAGCCATGTTTGAGGGGTATAAGTTAATAGGTTTTCTAAAGAAAACCTATCACTATCTCTAATTAGAGATTCAATATTTTCATATAGGTATTCCCTTACAAGTTGTGTGATATTAATGATTTCTTGTACACGTTTATCCCAGTCACTGTGTTGAAAATTCCATTGTTCTATGAGCCTCTCATTCACCTTATATTGTTTTTTGTAAAGATCCCTTAAGTTAAGTATCTCTTCGCAATATTCATTTATTCTTCTTTTTAACTCTATTATTTTCCCATTTCGACTTTCTATTTGCAACAATAATTCTGTAATCACGTTAGTGATATTTGTTATATCTTTACTGTTTTCTTGACTTTCAATTTGACTTGAAGTTTTTTCAAACTCTACACCTAAATGTGACTCATTAATTATAGAACCAGAAATAGGATTAAAAAGAGAATCAGAAATGGGATTAGAAAGAGAATCAGAAATAGAATCATTAATATTAGTATCAATTCGAGATCGT